CTGGCGGTAGTTACCAAGGTCATGATCAGGAAGCAGACGAGCGCAACCTTTACCACAGGTCAGAGGAGTAAAAGAGAGAAAACAGCCCAAAGACCTTAAAAACACCATGGCAGCAAGCTCAAATGAATGTTAAATGGTTGTGGGTAAAAGCTTGACATAATAACAGATGGAACCATAACCATTAAAGGCTTTTTATTATAAATGTCTTTGCAAACTAGATCAAATTATCAGAGGCGTGGAAATGGCCAACATTGAAATGGCCAACATTTCCAAAAGATATCTACAAATACTTAACATGTTTTTTGAAATTAAAGGTCATTTTCTATAATTGTGAAGTTGACATCTGGTTTCTTTTAAATCTACAGACTTGGACAGCTGTAAAAAGAGAAAGTCATAAAAAACTATGCCTGAAGGTGTGCTTCAAAAGCGCCGCTATTTGGCTACATCAATCACACAAGTCTGCATTGTTATGAAAAATAACTCCAACTCTTACAGTTACAGACTTGTAGACTAACGTTCACGTCCAGATAGTAAAATAGGAATTGGTTTGACAAGAGAATGTCAGGTGATTAACTGTAGGCTAATAGTCATCTGTGTTTCATGCTTATTTAAAATAGAATAGGAATAAGATGGGTCTAATGAATGTGATTGTATTTGACCTGGATTTTTGTCTGTTGTCTTAGCTATGCTGGGGATGGGACAAATTCAAGTAGGATTAGTGGGGAGAAAACATATGTTCAGCAGCTGGGTGCAGGGCAATTCCACGATAACAGAATAATGCTGTCTCTAATTTTTCACTTTAAAAGTATTCCAAACAAAAACCATAGATTGCAAAGTTAAACAAACCATACAACTCCATGCACAAGGACTACTTTTAGCAATTTCCACTGAATATGTTACAAAAACACATTTACTCAAAGAACAGTACAGGTGTAAAGTTTGGTAACAAAATGATGATAAAATCTCCCTCAGTTTTGTATGTGACCACGTTTTCCAAAAGCTCTTAAATAACTACCCCAAATTAGGATTAAAAGAAAGAATGGGGTGTATGGGGTGTCTATGACATGACACCTTGAGTTGGAAAAAATCTATTTTGGTTGTTGAACAAACAGTAAGTGAAGTAGATTAACACCTGTTAACAGAATGAAGGTAGCAGAATGATAATAATGGGTATCTGATCTGTACTATACTATAAATGCATAATTATGAATGTTATTGGTTTAGACCAGACCAAATCTGTACCAATCATAGACGTCTATGTTTCACAAGTTTGGACATTACAGCACAATACAGTACAGTAAAGTACAGTACAGTACATTATACTGTACTCTACTCTAGTGTGCTCTACTGTACTGTACTGTACTTAACTCTACTAGGCTGTACTGTGCTGTGCTGTCCAAACATGTGAAACAGACATCTATGATTGGTTAAAATTTAGACTGACCAAATTTCAACTACTTTTTAACATCCATGGACCTCCTGTGTCGGTCGGTGCTCACTGGATGAGAGGGCTGTTACAGTAAATGGAAAGAGAGAGGGCTCACAGGCAATGTTCCCTCTAAACTGCACGCACAAAATAAATATCAGCCCGCACAGAGAAGCATGAGATTGAACTCAACTTTCTTGTTTTCCCCTTTAGTTAACGCTATCAACGTTTCCCTCTACTGTGTGAATTGTAATCGAATCAACGCAATATTAGCCACTTTCAATCCAACCTACTGAAACAAAACAAACTATGCAAGAGATTTTGCATTGGAGTAGGATTCTATTGCATTGACAGGCATAACCAATCAGAGCTGCAGTATCCCTATATGTAAATAGACCATTGCCATATATGGATCTGTGCCATTCACTTTGAGCTGGACTGTGCTTACAGCATGAGTGGTCGCAAGTAGATGCGCTTGTTTTGAGATCAAAGCAAGAGCTGCATGTAGCCAGGTGTGTACATTTGTTCATATTCTTTGCTAGTTAGTGAGTTATTAGCCCAGTTATAGCAGATTTCTAGTCAGCAATGGGGGAGTGGTTGCTTCCTACAAGAGCACAAAACATGTGCATTTCTAGCCATCTTTGAAAAGCAAGTCCGGTAAAGAGCTTTGGAGTGCTGCATGGAGTGCTGCTTCAGATGACCTGGCCTCCACAATCACCCGACCTCAACCCAATTGAGGTGGTTTGGGATGAGTTGGACCGCAGAGTGAAGGAAAAGCAGCCAACAAGTGCTCAGCATATGGGGGAACTCCTTCAACACTGTTGGAAAAGCATTCCTCATGAAGCTGGTTGAGAGAATGCCAAGTGTGCAAAGCTGTCATCAAGGCAAAGGGTGGCTACTTTGAAGAATCTCAAATCTCAAATATTTGTTTAACACTTTTTTAGTTACTACATGATTCCATATGTGTTATTTAATAGTTTTGATGTCTTCACTATTATTCTACAATGTAGAAAATAGTAAAAATAAAGAAAAACCCTTGAATGAGTAGGTGTGTTCAAACTTTTGACTGGTACTGTATGTCCAGAGGAGGAGAGAGGCCGTATTTCACGTGACAGTTCTGGGGAACTACTGTGGAATTGTGACGCTGGTGGTTCAGTGGAGATGGAAAGAGCAATGTACCTGCTTCAAATACGCAAATACAGCAGATGGACAGAGAGAGATAAGACTGCCATGCTGATGACTACACAGGAGTCATTTAGCAGAGAGGGGAAGTAGTCAATAGCACACAGACACTGAGGTCACAAATGCTCAAACACACAGACACACACTCACTCTCTTTCACTCCATCGCTCACACACACATTCACTACACATAGAGAAACTCATTCACATACACAAACAAACTCTCTCCTACCTAAGGGCCACCAGCCCACATGCAGACTGGGTAGATTCCCTGGGCGCTGAGTGTTCCCACTATGGTGAGTACCTACCTTACAATCATATCCTCATGAGCTGGGACACTGAGAAGTGAATGGTGCTGTATCTTTATTTGGGAAACTTAACTTAACTTGGGAAAGCTTGGGAAAGCTTTACTGTTTGTTTACATTCCTTGTTGTACACCGTAGTGTAGTGGCAGGTAGCAGATGTTAGCCTATTTCCCTATTCATTTTCTTATTTGTTATACAGTGCCCTGTTTTCTTTGCACATTTTTCTTGGGAAGTTTTATGAAAGTGCTATGAGATGGTGATTCTGCAATTGATTACTATGAACCTATACTGTCTTTTAGAAGGATTTGTAGATGTAGTTTTGTTTTTTATTATTAAAGTAGCACTTAACCTCTGCATTAGAGAAGTACAGTTTTGCTAAACAGGTTTGTGACAATCTGGATTGTGTAATACAGACTTTTTAACTTGTTTCACCATACTGAAAAAAACGTTGGTTCCTCTTTGCTTTTACTCAATGCATTTTGTTCTCTCTAATTTCTCTGCAAGCTTAACATCTAAAGGACATTGACCTTAGTGTGTCAGGAGGTTTGTTCTTTTGTTGGAAAAGTCATTAATTGTTTCTATGTAATTACTGTCCGCTTTTCTTCATCCATGGATTTCATGTTACTGCTCCAGGCCATGGCATACCAAAATAATCTCCAGCACACAGCCAACTAAACTCATGGATGAAAAGAGTCAACGTGTTACTTTAGAACCTCTGTTGTTGGCTGTAATTTAGTCTGGCTAGACATGCAGCACATCTCTGGTTAAGTGACTAGAGACACTAGGGCTCTGAAAGGCTCTTCTTCAGTGTTTTGGTGACAGTCCATGTCACAGACAGTAGCCATATAGACAAGTGAAATCCACTGTGTCTGTAAAGACGTAAACATGACATAGTGTTGTCACAGTTCTCTGTCTGAGTGGCGGAGTCCCTGCTTTGAATGTCGTTAAATGGGTTGTACGTCTCACAGCCTTCAACACATAAATGACAGGCAGACAGTGTCCCGTTTATATCTTTGTTGCATTATAATCATTAGCTCCCAAATATCTACATTTATTAGGGACATAAACTAGTTTAGTGGAGTCCAGCTGAAGTTTTGTGGCCTGTGTGGTTTGTAAGGGGAAATTACAGTTGAGATACAGTCATGTGAGAATAGGCTATACATTTACCCCTTTAGTAATCTGCATGCTCACCAATGAGGCTAATGATAAAACAAAGTCAAGTGACATTGACTGCTTTAAGCAGAACCAGTGTGAACTACTGTAATTTCCCTACTTTGCTCTTTATGTGACATGACACAATTTATTAGGCTATATGTGTATTCATGAAGAGTGACAAGTCCAATACACTCTGAAACAAGTATTAACATGTTTAATGAATTGATGAGTTACTGCCACTTCCTATGGACACTTCTGCCCCCCTAGCTGTCTCTATTGTTTGTCCCCTGAAGTCCAACAGCAGCACAGTTTGTTTCTCCACAGTCAGGTGGCCATCAGCCTTGTGCAATCGGAACGCCTGTCCTCTGCACTTCCTCATGATAGGTTGTTCTGTCTCGATTCAAACAACCCTCATTATAGTGAGGTGTGGGGTGGTGCCACAAGAGGAGAGCCGTCCACCATCTGTCCCTTATTATCAACATCATGATGAGGCATAGATTTTTACTGCAGATATCACCAGTGTGGCTAATAACAGATACATTTTCAAAACCTCTCACCAGAGGAGAGTTACCAGAACCTGCGATACCTGCTCACACAGACCACAGATAAACAGCTTTTTGTGTCCCAGAGGGTAATTTGCATATTGACTAAGGAAATACAGAATGTCATAATACAGAACCCTTTCATCATAGAGGGGTAATCTGATTCATTAGGCCATATTACGTCATCATCATTATATTTACACAGCTCTTTTTACAGCCAGCCATTCAAGATATCGTTTTTGTCAAATAGTAGTAGCAGAACCATTATCGTTAGAATAACTATATTGTCTATGAAAAACAGAGCAGCACATAGGTTAATCAAGTAACGGGAGCACAGAACACCTATGTGCCCACTTCCTGTTTAGCGCCATGACTTTGTTGCATTTCCTGCATGATCTGTTACACATACTTGGACCCTGAGGGGCTTAGTGCTCTCAGCACAGCAAGACACAGAGAGGTAGGTGAATTGTTGTTGGCTTGATTTGGTGAGATTGAGGTGGTTTAATACCAACATGGTGCAAACATCGTATAGTTTACTCAGGGTTTAGCATCCTTTTCAGAGGCCGTCCTTTGATGAAATGTCAATCTGAGCTGTAAAATCATAGAACAACTTTTCTCTTAGATGACCCTAACCCAATAAGAATGAGAAGTTGTACATGTCAGAAATGTCAGTTACAACCTGTTTTCTCCCTCTTGTCTCTCTATCTCTTTTTCTTTCTCCCTGTCCTAGCTCCCCAGTTAGATATGTCTGTGTGTTTGTATAGTAGAGAAATAACCAACAGTGTTTAATGAATGACTATTGAGGTAAAATATTAGGGGAAACTCCTGTGGACAAATGATAATGAAAGTGTATACATAAAGGACACTTCCTCCTCACTAGTCTTTGTTTGTTTACTGTCAGCAGAACAACAAGTCGGATATAAAGGCCATCACGGCTCGCTTCAGCACGGGGGGAAACTCCACAGAGGGCATGTCTACAGGACGTCCTAAAGCTGCAGTGCACCCCACCCTGTCCTCTGGTCCCCCCATCCAGCCTAAGAAACCTGTCCTGGAGACCAGCCTCTCAGGCAGCGCAGCCTCCACCGCGCCCAAACCCAGCTTCATCAAGAACACTGTCTCCACCAAGAGCGCTCCAGAAGTCAGGGAGTTGCCCAAAAACAAAACGATCGCTAGTATGTTTGAAAGTGCCCAAGAGGACAACAAACCCTCTTTTGTCAAACAGTACCCCTTTAAACCCAAACCTCCTGGCCCAGAGTTATCCCATGACGCTGAGATCAAAAGTCCTCTGCCAAAAACCCCTCTCCAGAAGCCCTCTCTGAGCTCGACCCTGTTTGACACCAAGCCTGCCTTCCCCAAACCACCCCTGGTTGTGGCCAAACCCTCCTGGGTCAAAGACAGCAGCCCCAAACCTGACGACAGCGGGGGTACGCCGAACAAATTACCCCCTTCCAAAAAACCCATCAGCTCCATTGCAAAGATGCGGCTACAGACAGAGGATAGTGTGGCTGGAGCTGTGGATTCTACAATCAAACCGTTCACACCAGGCAATACCCTCAAGCCCTCAAACTTCAGGACTGCTCAGAATGCATTCAATAGAGGAGACACACTATCTGAGGAAGGAGTAAAAGAAGTAGCCAAACTCCCCCTCACCTCCAGTGACTCTTGTCCCCCCAAACCTATAGCCAGCAAGAAACCCAGCATCACTAAGAAGCCACTGGGCTACGCCTCTCCAGTCGTGGGGGTAAACCCTTCTGTTCTCACCAATAGCTCCTCTGTCCCCAAAAGGAACCCACTGCCTAATATCCTGGCACTGGGGACTGCCCCAGCCAAACCCAACCGGCCTCCTAGGGTCAACTTGGAAAAGTTAAAGAAGGGTACAGCGGCTAGTACCGATGGTAAGTGTTCTGTCTTTCACTTACCACTAATAAGCCACATCAGGATAAGTCTATCAGCTGCTAAGATGCATCTGCTGTGGTGTTCTAAACATGCTCCAGTTCTGCAGATTCACAGGCCTGCACCCAGGCTAGAGTGGTTTCTGTGGTTGTATGCTCCACTGATCAGAGACAGGTGGTAGAACACACACACACACATCAGCTGTGTCATAGGTTGTCATCACAACAGAGAGCCAGATCAGAGGTGTTGATCTTACAAAACCTTCATAAAAGCCGTTATACACAAAAGTAGAATTCAACGTCAAAATGTAAAACCAAAGACACAAATATTGGCTTCCTCTATTCAAGTTCCCGCTCTAGTTTCTGTTTTACCTTCCTCCTTTTACAGCTGATGTTTTGTCCCTAATTGCGGAGTTCCTCTTTAAACAGGGATAAATTCAAGTGAAAGGTTTCCTTTTTTGGATCCACACGTGAATATGGTTTTGACTAAAGATAGACTTCAGCATGGTTTGCATTACTATAAGTCAGCAGACAGAAGAGGGATCCTATGTGAATTCCACACTCCCTCTGGTGACAATGTAGTCTTGAGATGTTGCAGGTACTATTTATGAATTTCTGTAATGATTGTTGTCTACATGCAGGATGAAATTCAACATATTCATATCCAATGCTTGTTTTCTGCTGGGCACGTCATATAGGGACAATTATTTTTTTTATCTCAAACTCTGCTACATTCCCTTTCAACTACAGAATAACGTCCATAGAACACGGAGGACGGAGGTCTTATTCAATCACTAGATTAATAATCTGCAATTGATTTGAAAAACGTCTTCACTACATCTGAAAGGGCCATCTAAAGGTTTGTGTTTTTATCCTGAAGGTCCTGCTGGGTTTAGGAAGGGAAGTGTTCCCCCACCTCCTGCCTCTCACCCAAGTAACTCCATGGCCCCACCCCTGCCCTCTAACCCCATGGCCCCTAGCCTGCCCTCTAACCCCATGGCCCCTAGCCTGCCACCGCGACCACCAGGAGCCATGTGAGTATCAGACTGGGGAATGTCCTGTGAAAGCCGGACAATATTAGACTAGCATGATTGGCACTGAAGTACATACACAAGTAAAATACACATAGGCCTGTAGAGGCACAATGCACTTGCTTCAGAACATAGAAACAGCATACAATCCCATTCACAAAAAAAAAATGTTTATGCACTAGTACTTATTATTTCCTTCAGTAACTTTAAAAGTTGAGTACTTGTGTACTGACCTTATTTTCATTGTGATGTGGTGGGTCATTTTGGCCAATTGACTGACTTTGTGTCTCTGCCTCCAGAATCCAACCTGACCCAGATGAGAACTATGATGATGTGGGGTTAATGAACAACCCTCCTAGTCAAAGGACTGAGGTGACTCAAAATATTTTCACTTTGTTCAAATGTAAAACCTATGTTTTTTGTTTGTTTTTGTTTTTACTAACTATCGCAATATATTCTTACAGTATTCTGACTACATATTTTTCATCCAATAGGACAGTGAGAGTGATGAGGAAATGTATGAAGATCTTGATAAAAGATGGTGAGAAAGATGATCTTATATAAAGGTCCAATGCAGCCGTTTTGATCTCAATATCATATAATTTCTGATGTTAAAACGTATCATCTTTGTATCTGTGACAGCTTGGGCAGCGCCATTTAGGCCATCTCCTTTTGAAAGTAGTATTTTTGTATTTCTACTATTGTAAAGCTAATATTGGTGATTTACCGCCACCTGCAGTGCTGGAGTCCTGAACCAAATCTTGTGTGTCATTCATTTATTTTGGCCATTAGAGAGATGTTGGTGATATGACTTCAAACCATTTACAAACCATAGAACCCAATTTGAAAAAGAATGCTCTGATCATTGGCTGATCGCTCCCAAACCATAGGAATGCCCACCCAGTTGACTACTTTAAAATGTACATCTTAGTCATTTCAGATGTTCTTATCCAGAGCGACTTACAATACAGCAGTGAGTGCATGCATGACCCTCAATGGTGTACATACATTGCCTTCAATGGCAATGTCCATGGGTTATATGGATATAAAAGGGGTTATATCCAAGTTGAGTCCTCTAACTACAGTATCTCTATGTATTCCCTCCAGTTTCTATTCAACTTCTTTTATTGTACCAATCTCTGGAATGAGGAACAGGTTTAAGATGGACACTGCCGTCTAGTGAGCATTAACACCACTGACACTTATTTCTAATCAGGGGACCAGTGGAATCAAAGGAACAAGAGAAAAAGCGAGAGAGGGAGGGGAAAAAACAACAGGAGGTGGAAAAGAAAGAACTGAAAGAACGCGAGAGGAAAGAACAAGAGGCCAGAAAGAAATTCAAAGTGAGTGTTGCACTGCAGAAGCCTGTTGTTCAGTAGTTCCTCTAAGTCTTGTTATATTGTAGCTATCATGGAGTCCATCCTGTATAATATTTGTGAAGTGAATGTGTATTACGCTGCATCCTCTATCATGTTTTTATTTATCCTTAATGTGGCAGCTGACTGGTCCACTGGAGGTCATCCACAGGGTCAAAGCCAAATTGGACAGTAAAGGGAGCAAGACGGACCTGGGCCTGAAGCAGGGAGAGTCTATTGACATCATGCGTGTTTTGGACAACCCAGAGGGCCGCTGGCTGGGAAGGTCACAGGATGGCTCCTGTAAGTGACAGCTGTCTCCTCCTCCTCCTCCTGCTCTACATCTCCTTCCTATTATTTTGACTTGTCTCCCTCACATCCATTTGACTGTTCCCCATGTGTGAGACTCTAACATGTGCTCTGTATATTTTCAGATGGCTATGTGAAGACTGAGTCGGTTGCGATTGACTTTGACACCCTGAAGCGTCAGGGTGTGTCTATACCCAGTCAGATGGAACACGAACCGGAGGTATATGATGATGTGGACTTTCATAATGACCTCAGCAGGTAAAATGGCCACTGACACTATCAAAACCTTTGAGACAATGACCATTGGAAAGATATGAATACCTTACTATAGAAATGTACGGCATGAAGTCCTTTCACTGTCTTTAGTTTTGACCCTGTGATTATGTTCTCCTTATTCCAGTGGGATCAAGGGTCCAGGAAGTAAGTTTCAAATGACCACAACTTAATATTGAAACTGAATAACACAATGTGGTAATGTGGTCACAAATGACTTTAGTTACATCTACAGTAGTTTCAATCTTCCTTTTGTCATTCATAGTGGTTCTTCCTCCACCACCTGAGGAGGTTGGGGACATATATGATGATCTGGACGATTCAAGCTTCAACGTTAGGTGAGAATATCATGACCTGCTGCACTCTGATGATATAGATTCATTGGCATGCTTTCATCTGTGAGTGTATACTTTCTATACATGTGTCTGTGTGAGTGTATGTAAATAAGTGTGTGTGTGCAGCCCTAGCCCCTCGGACCCCAGATTGCCTCCTAAACCTCGCGGCCTCTCTTGGGTGTTTAAGGGCTTCGAGGAGTGGAGAAAAGGCCCAGGCAGCAAAATTGAGTAATTCTCTCATTAGTAAGATGGATCAGGAAAAAACACTGTCATTAACTCCTAACCCTATAACCCAAAATCTCTAAGAACTAAACAGGAGGGACACTAACTAATTACTGAATCATTTAATCGATCTGAAATCATTCTTAAATCATGAATAAAAATACTGTTTTTGTATGTCCTTCAATGAATTAAAGGTCCAATGCAGCCGTTTTGATCTCAATATCATATAATTTCTGGGTAACAATTAAGTACCTTACTGTGATTGTTTTCAATTAAAATGGTCAAAAAGAAACAAAAATTGCTTCTTAGCAAAGAGCAATTTCTCAAGCAAGAATTTTGCTAGAACTGTCAGGAAGTGGTCTGAGTGGGGAGGGGGAACACTGAAAACTAGCTGTTATTGGTAGAGAGGTTTGGAACTCTTTCTTATTGGTCTATTAACTCATTTGCTGCAAAAACTCCATCCCACCAAAACAGGCTGAAATTTCAGGCGGCCTTTTCAAACAGCTCTTACACTAAAGTGGCATTATCATCATTTTCACAATTTCAAGGTATTATTCCAGCCTCATAGGAAATATATATACAACACAGTACAATCACATTTTTGACTGCACTTGGCCTTTAACAACCTTTTCATTCTGTCTATACATCTATATGCACTCACAATGTTCTATGTACAGGTGTCAGAAAATCATTCTAATCATAGTGTAATTGGTGTTATTTGTTGACTTTCTGTGTGGTTGTTAAATTATCTGTATTGATTCATGTCTGTTTGATAAAAATGTACCTACAGCACAAGCAATCAACCAGACATAACATGGACTAAGATTTTAATTCAGTTTTTGTCATTTTCAGAGTACGTCCACCTTCCCAGTTTGATCAGGAAGGAAATACTGGTAAAGTATTATGTTTAATATCCAGTGTGACTATGTGTGCTCTGTGTCAGTGGCATTATAAAAACTGAAGAATAGAAGTTTGAGAAGTACTGTTTACTTCACTTACATTTTCAATATGTTCTTGCTATTCTTTCTTTGTATCTCTTGCTATTATAGAACAATCTGCTGAGGTCATTGATGAGGAAATCTATGATGATGTGGATGTCACTAACTTCCCTCCGACTCCACCTATCAGCAGGTAATGAGAGAGAGAGAAAAATAGACCCATGGTTAAACAGAGTTGTTGTAATGACATAAGAATCTCCTCATCCCCTACTGGGAAACATTTTGATAATGTCCAATTTGTTCTCTTTTCAGTCTCCCACGAAGTAAAACCAAGGATAAGGCTGAGGACAAAGATCCTAAAAAGCTAAAGAAATTTGAGAAGGAAGAGAAGGATTTCAGAAAGAAGTTCAAGGTAAATTGTATATTATCACAATTTACATTGATCATTTTACATTTTGTGTATTTGTTTGACCCTCAATCCTGACCTCTCCCACCTATAGCATGATCGGGAGATCCAGGTATTGTATCAGGTGACCATCGTTTCCACCTTGGCCAATAAGAAGTGGAGCAGTAAGGATCTGCCGTTGAGACCTGGGGAGACTGTGGATGTCATCGTTAAGCCTGTAGACAACAAGCTCATCTGCAGGAACGAGGAGGGCAAGTGTGAGTAACAATGAATCCTCAGTATGAAACATAGTCATTCTGCAAGAAAAATTGTTTTGCAAGGGGGCTTACTTTAATAATCTCCACCTCTCCCTATCTCTCTCTCCATTAGTTGGCTATGTCTTGACCAGCCATATTGTAGTAGAGTAAGTACAACACAAAAACAGATCATACAAAAACACATCCATAAATACACATCATCTAAAGTATGTTATTAGCCAGTTCACTAAACTGCAGAGAAAATGCTTGGATATGAAATGCCCTGAATTGGATATCAATTATCTGTTTTGCTTTTACAGAGATTCTGATATCTATGATGACATTGGTGATGGTACGTTTCAGACTTTTGACATGCAATAATGGCATGTAACAATGTGTATCATACAAGAGGCTGAATCAGAAGATCAAGTGAACAACTATATCAATTTTATTCTTGCAATATGTTGCTGATATGTTTTTCATGCCAGAGAACATTTTTCACAAATTTCTGTCATTTCTAGTAGCCTAATAATTCAAATTTCTTTGCAGATTGCATCTATGACAACGACTGAACACTGTCTACAATGTGATGCCGATATCTTGTATTTTGGTTTGTTTCTTGTTTTATATCAATAATCTTTATCTTATTTATTGTGGTTATTTTGGGGTGACATTACATTTTCATTCAAGAACAATACAGTCTCTTTCTCAATGTTTTACCTTTATGAATAACTGTGACTTTGCAATGTATAGGCCTAAATTACATACAATGTTACATTTTTATATTGAACCTATGGGTTACATAACATGACTTAATCACATTGAATGCTTATTCTATATCCAACAAGACACATTACACACTGATTGACAACAAAGGTGCGACGATGATGATGATGATCAACTTAAATACTCATCATAAATTAATTTACTATGTGATGCCAAATAAAGCATGTCAGATCAGTTGTCATAGTTGGCTGGTTCTCACCTGACAGGTGTGTTACTTATGTCATATTGTACTGAAAGTCAGAGTCCATGACCACCTTAAATGTTATGCGATAGGCCTAACCTTTCTGACTGAGAGTGTGAGGGAACAATTGCCTTGGTTTCATATAAAGCCCATGTCATAGAAATACATTTGATTCACATAATAACAATTACAATAAAATAAATGATTTGGCCTTCATTGTTTCAGTTTTCTGCATGAAATGTATGACTGCTTTCTCTGAATAATGATATTTGCTGGAATGGCAGTATTTCACTGGGACTCTATTTGCCTACAACACACATAGTCTACATAGTCTATCTAATGTTTTCTTTAGATAAAAAAGAATGGTGACTAAATTAACCTCTTGTGGGAACCCACTGAGCTATATGTGGGAACCTGGGAATAAAAGCTTTTATAAAGGGAAATAAAATGATGTACAGTACCAGTCAGAAGTTTGGACACACCTACTCATTCAAGGGTTTTTCTTTATTTTTACTATTTTCTACATTGTAGAATAATAGTGAAGACATCAAAACTATGAAATAACACATATGGAATCATGTAGTAACCAAAAAAGTGTTAAACAAATCAAAATATATTTTATATTTCAGATTCTTCAAATAGCCACCCTTTGCCTTGATGACAGTGTAGCACACTCTTGGCATTCTCTCAACCAGCTTCACCTGGAATGCAAACAGTCTTGAAGGAGTTCCCACATATGCTTAGCACCAGTTGGCTGCTTTTCCTTCACTCTGTCATCTGACTCATCCCAAACCATCTCAATTGGGTTGAGGTCAGGGGATTGTGGAGGCCAGGTCATCTGATGCAGCACTCGATCACTCTCCTTCTTGGTAAAATAGCCCTTACACAGCCTGGAGGTGTGTTGGGTCATTGTCCTGTTGAAAAACAAATGATAGTCCCACTAAGTCCAAACCAGATGGGATGGCATATCGCTGCAGAATATTGTATTAGCCATGCTGGTTAAGTGTGCCTTGAATTCTAAATAAATCACAGACAGTGTCACCAGCAAAGCACCCCCACACCATAACACCTCCTCGTCCATGCTTTACGGTGGGAACCACGCATGCGGAGATCATCCATTCACTCACAAAGACACGGCGGTTGGAACCACAAATCTCAAATTTGGACTCCCGACCAAAGGACAAATTTCCACCGGTCTAATGTCCATTGCTCGTGTTTCTTGACCCAAGCAGGTCTCTTCTTATTATTGGTGTCCTTTAGTAGTGGTTTCTTTGCAGCAATTCGACCATGAAGGCCTGATTCACACAGTCCCCTCTGAACAGTTGATGTTGAGTTGTGTCTGTGACTTGAACTCTGTGAAGCATTTATTTGGGCTGCAATTTCTGAGGCTGGTAACTCTAATGAACTTATCCTCTGCAGTAGAGGTAACTCTGGGTCTTCCATTCCTATGGTGGTCCTCATGAGAGCCGGTTTCATCATAGCGTTTGATGGTTATTGCGACTGCACTTGAAGAAACGTTCAAATTTTCCGTATTGACTGACCTTCATGTCTTAAAGTAATGATGGACTGTCATTTCTCTTTGCTTATTTAAGCTGTTCTTGCCATAATATGGACTTGGTCTTTTACCAAATAGGGCTATCTTCTGTATACCCCCCCTACCTTGTCACAACACAACTGATTGGCTCAAACGCATTAAGAAGAAAAGAAATTCAACAAATTAACTTTTAAGAAGGCACACCTGTTAATTGAAATGCATTCCAGGTGACTACCTCATGAAGCTGGTTGAGAGAATGCCAAGAGTGTGCAAAGCTGTCATCAAGGCAAAGGGTGACTATTTGAAGAATCTGAAATATAAAATATATTTTGATTTGTTTAACACTTTTTTGGTTACTACATGATTCCATATGTGTTATTTCATAGTTTTGATGTCTTCAGTATTATTCTACAATGTAAAAATAGTAAAAATAAAGAAAAACCCTTGAATGAGTAGGTGTGTCCAAACTTTTGACTGGTAGTATATTTGCGTTCGATTTGATCTGCTATCAACCTTCCTCCCTGGCTTCACTGCTCACTTCCTCAGAGAGGAATAGGTGAACCGAGAGGGTTTACTCCGCTCAAAATCTGTCTTTGAAAATAAGACCACGAAGTGAGGCAGGTTTCCATTGAACCAGGTTTATTCATAAACATTTGTATCTGTTCGACGATGTGGATTTTGCTTTTATGGAACTTTCCTTATTGCGACAAATGATGATGGAAACTGTTTTTTTCTAATAAATGATAATTGCCGACGCGGGCACGTGATGACATGGCCCCAGTTGCATTTGCAAACCAATTATGTTTCTGTACGAAATCCATAGCCTAATATGAAATCTAAACATAGTGTGACAGTGAGCAATTGACAGTGAGCTGTGAGCAAAATAACCAGACGGGAAGTTGACAATGGCTTTGCATAAATACATTGTATTTCTATGGTTTCAGTCCTCAAAGTTTGAATTACATTGAATCAAATTAATCAGATCCAATGATTTACCGTTATTTAAATCAAAATTTTCAAATATAAAAATAATGTTTCTTTGCAGGACAAGGATTGTCCTGACTTTCAAGAATGCCTGAATTGTAATGCTGATCTGGTTGGTTGGATGCAAGTTTCACAATCCAATCATTTCAGATCTACAGGAGTGCAAATTTCACCATGGCACAGACCGCGGGGATACGTTGGCACATGAGAAGTATTAGAATATGGCAAATATTAGTCAATTCTTGCATTCTATCCATGCTGGCTTTGTCAGGCTACCTGAGACACCAAACAGATAGGTGGAAGGGCATACAACCTGTCGCCGAATTATTAATGCAAATTTGCCTAAATGGTTCATGGAAACACTTCAACCACTTCATTATTATTTGCAAAAAAGTTTTTTTGGGGGATGTTACATCATTACCTCCAGCTGTTTTTAGCGACAAAAGACAGTTAAATGGAAACGCAACGCAGTAGGTATTTGTCGCATGTATTTTCTATGACAACGTTCTAAATGTCAAACAAAAAATTACTGGACAAGTTAATGGAAACATCTAATGAGTGTCGAGTTTGGTCAACGAAAAATGTAATTGCTAATTTGTTACGTACATTTACATTACATTTTAGTCATTTAGCAGACGCTCTTATCCAGAGCGACTTACAGGAGCAATTAGGGTTAAGTGCCTTGCTCAAGGGCACATTAACGTCATTTAGCAGACGCTCTTAGCCAGAGCGACTCACAAATTGGTGCGTTCACCCTATAGCCAGTGGGATAACCACTTTACAATTGGGGGGACCACTTTACAGTTACGTGAGGCTTATTTGATCGAATATAAGTTTCGTAATGATTAGGTTGTTAGGAATGCGCTGACAGAAATCAGAAATGCTATTAAATATTCTAATTCCTAATTCTGTGCACTGATATAAGTGGATGCACGTGACATTTCGGCAACTTTGAAAAAAAACAATTTATATCTGAGTTGTGGCTGTTGTTCACGGGTATCTGCCCTCTCATTGGCTAGAATGGTTCCACCTGATCTCGCCTTCCATCTTTGAGGACATATGTTTCCATTGTTAGAGCGGTCACTCGACTATCTTGTCAATATAAAATATTTCTTTGACTTCCTCAAACCAAGATAGTGGTCTTGCAGGAAGGGCGTTTACATTCCTGAATTTAACATGTGAAGATATGTCAGATGAACTGTCAGTATACTCAGTTAAACTGTTGGCGATTGTAGCTGCCCTCTAGTGGATGAAGAATGCTCAACCTGTCAGAATTATAAATTAGTATGCTCAGATTCCCTATTTTATTGAATAATTTATCATCTGGCAAATCTAATAGGAGTGACCTACTATTGGAGGCAATAATGTTATTATGGAGAATATAGAGACAGGGTGTACTAGTGTGATTCTGCCGGGTCCCAGGCCACTCGGGAGTGGGTGGGAGTGAAATAGTAGACCAGATAGCCAAAAAGGCTTTAAAACAAGATATAATTGGGTAGAGGTGAGGCCAAATGTAAGATTAGAGACATTATGATAGATGTGTGGCAGAAGAGGTGGGACAACGAGCCCAAAGGCAGGCATTTATATGCCCTCCAAAGAAAGGTTGGTGATTCAAGGGTCAGATTAGGAAGGAAGAGGTGGTGTTTGCTCAGTTGCGTCTAGGGCATTGTACATTGAACTCGTCATTATATCTGGTTGGCAAGCATGCGAATAGTTTGTGTACGGAGTGTATGGTTGATGAAAGATTGAAGCATGTGTTGATGTATTGTTGTAAGTACCGGTACGTGGAAAGATTGAAGTGTAGGGTTATTTGATGTTGGACGGGGGGTGGGGTTGGAAGGGATTTGGGGGATAGGGAAGGGTTTGTTATTTTCTTAGTAGTACAGGATTAGATACGAGGGTTTAGTTTATTGTAATGTTTGTTTCTTAATTCATTTAGTCTGTAAACTGTGACGGACTACACATTCCAGTACAGTAGGTGGCGGCATGCACCTCTAACGTCTGTTTGCTGACTGCCATAATAATACAGAAGAAGACTTCCTCAATTTCTCACTAGCAAAATGGTTCCTCCAGTTGCAGTCTCGCCTGTCATCAAGGTAAATCTATATTTATTTTAATAACTTGTGTTGTATAACTAACTCATTTGAATGCATATGATGAATACAGCAGGTAATTTTTATGTCATGTTAAAATCAGACGTTTAGCTTCTTAGAAAGTTTAGCTAGCTAGCTACTTACATAAATGTTCATGGTATGACATTGACTGGTTCAATCCAATGTGGTTTAGCTAGCCAGTTAAGTAACTATATACCTGTCATAAAGCTAGCTAGCATAACTAAATAATCCAGCCAAAATCGATGACAAAATGTTACATTGTCCCGGTGTAGTAGTTCAGCTCACTGGCCTGTAATTATTCTGAGGCAAGGTCATAGTATTGGCTTCTTGCCGAATACGCTAGCTACTTGCGTTAACAAGCGCTAGCGTGCTAACTTATTAGCTAGCATGACTAACTGGGGGCGTTCCAGGTCATCTCACATCTAGTCTAACGTTTGCGTGCCAGACACTAATTAAATCTTCTGCCAAAAGACGATTGAAAGTCAACCAGCATAGATAGCTAGTTAGCTAGTGAGTTGTGTAACTAAGTCAACTAACTAGCTAATCAATTTTCTTGATTTCAGACGGCCAGGTGGTCATTCTTGCTCATTGGCATGTTTTATGGCAAACAAAGATATGGTAAGTAGTTTACTATAAGATTGTGGTAATGTCACCTGAGGGTATTTTGAATTATCATTATTGCAATGTCAGTGTCATCGCTGTATTTCCCTAGACTATCTGAAGCCAAGAGCTGAGAAAGAGAGGCTTGTTGAGGAAGCGGAGAAGAAGATCCGAGAGGAGCAAGAGAAAATTGCCAAAGCACTTGCAGAAGGTAAATAATAAACTTATCAGAATGTTAGGAGGGATGCAGTGAAGATTGAGGAAATGTTGTGAAGCATATCTTTTTTTTCCCTCCCCCACAGCCTCTGAAGACACCATCCTGAAATGAACTGCCTATGGATCTACTCTGTCGTCTTCGAATAATAATAAAATAATAAACAGGATTATTTTCATGTATTACAGAATGATTCTTGGGTATATCTGTTAAGATAGTAATGTGCTAAAAATGATTAGTATAATACTAACAACTTCCAGTACTCTCAATGTCCTAAATGTGTTTTGAAGTCCCAATTCATTATTTTTTTAAATATAACCCAGATGTTTCACAAAAATTTCCTCTGTAAAACCTAGCTGAAACATTTTGTATAGTTAAGTGTTAGTCTCAAATCTGAAAATATTTATGTATACCCACCTTTGTGTGTTCTATCTAAATTGAGTGAAATAAATATAAAAGATACATCTGGTTCCCAGGTGTATATGTTAGGCTTGGGCGGTATAGCTTATGGATATTTGGAAAAAGCTAAGGGATGGTTTTTAAATACAATACCATCAAAACTATTTATTCGAAGTTTTTTAGAATATTTGTAGCTACTTTTTAAGTTATTACCTGCAGTCAACTTGTGCAATACGCTAGGAGATAAAGCAGATTGGGTTCTTAATTTCACCTTTATGAAGCTTACCGTAGTTCACCAGAACAATTGAGCCAGTCACGTGTTTGTACAGTAAATAGCACAACGGGAGAAAGCGAGCTGGTGAGTCCATAGCGTTCTATATCTATCGGCGAGTCTGTTGTGCGGCGCACATGAGGTGAAGTTACACTTTGCAATTCACTACTAAATATTTGCCATCAGATATCTTTAAATGGCAGTCTGCCAGAAGTCAAAGAGCTCTGAATGAGTTATCTGTAAAGCTGCCGTTTTTTCCCTGTGCTTCCTACTAGCGTTTTTTAAAATCTCCAATCTGCCCCATGTAGGCCTACACATGCTGCTCTTCCTTCAGAAAGGCATGCATCACAACTTTGTTCATTTGCATAATTTATCTCGTTTACTTTCGCTTGTAAATGTCCACACTCACCGAAAATGACATTCGGTAGCTGCTAGCTATTCATGTATAACTTTATGAACTGAATTTGCCTGTCTTTGCAATTAGTTTGTTCATTTTTGCTCGTTAGCATTTAGCTAACAACGTCTGTGATTGAGCTATTTAGCTTTTCTTGTGTTTTTAGCGCTCCCTTGTGTGCTATGCCGGAAATACCGTAAATCCTGGTATGAGAGTACAATATGAAAATCTGGATACCGCCCAAACCTAGTATATGTCTGTCGGGCACTGTCACCCTGCCCTTCACTGTGAGATGACCGGAGTAAGGACTAGGCAATAATCCAGGCCCAGTATAGCATAAATCCCAGGATTCAGGTCATAGGCCAATTTAAGAAAGTGTTGAGTGAACAATACTGCCACACGCCCTTCTACCCAGGTTTAACACACAATAGACATACTGTATACCTGGCCAATTTGTCATTACGTTCATGAATATTCAACATGCACATTTTTTTTTGGGGGGGGGGTCATCTGAAAGCATTTTGCTGGGAGGTTTTCTTGCACTTCTATCTGTATGCTGACCTGTAATCCTGAATGACAAGCAGAACAATGGCAGGACTTTACTTATGTTATGTAGGCTAATAACACCAACACTTGAATATGTTAACTATGTTTTCTCAATGCTATTAGTGAGCTATATAGTGACACTCAGAAATCTCTGCAACAGCCATACGAAAGATGTGTTCCTCTGTACAACTCGGTAGTGCAACCGTGCCATAATAATGCAGACGTGTATGGGTCAGAAGAATGGTGGAAACTGCTGAGAGTTAGTGCTGGCTAAGAGGCTTTATTACCAGGTGAGTCATGAGCTGGATACTGCCTGGAGACGACAGGAATTACAGCTGGAAATTATACTATGGAGCTAATATCGAGACAATACATTCCCAAAATAGAAAAAGGTTTCAGGGGTAATTTAAGCCTTGTTCGGATTGGCAGTTTGAAATGACTCAAATCAATTTTTTTGCATATCTGTTTTGAATCTGTTCTTTTTCCTGCAGTCTGAACACCCAAAAGCCACATGGAATCTGAAATATTTCAATCAACATTTCAAACCACCTTAGGTGTTTTAAAGTCAGATGCAAATCTGATTCCTGGCCATGCGACTTGTCTGAACAGTCTGATTGATTTGCCCCCAAGTGGTTTTTAGACTTATTTGGCATATCTTGTTGCTTGCTAGCTACTCAGACAGTTGAAGTGGTAGCTACCTAGCTTGATAATTGTGTACAAACAAATTAGTGAATGTGCTAGAAAGATAAACAGCTAGCTAGTTGACTGCTGTGGCTAGCAAAAAAAAAGGACTCGTTTTGAAATTTGGATAATCTTATCCTTTGAGCCTTTAAAAGAGTTCTTACACTATGATTAGGGAACATTCAAAGCAACTGGGAAATGTCCATGGCGGGCATTGTTGTCACCTTAACTTGCTACAACTTCTTAGTGATAGGAAGCACGAGCACTACCAACAACCAGCCTACACCACTGCGCACACCCGCCGTTACTACGATAACTAGCATAGCCATATCAGCAAATGACTGCTGTCTGAACACACAAATCTGATTTGGTCACTTGTAACTTGCTGTTTGGACAGTCAGTATTCCAAAACAAAACTTATTTTGAGAATTAAGGCCTGCAGCGTGAACAAGGCTTTAGATACTTTGGCCCAACCTCTGGCCATATCCATAAAAACAATAGGATACAATGGATATTTTACAAATGAGGTTTCCTGTTATATAAAACTAGCAAGATATTATTAGACAAAATGCATAATTAAAAATAAATTTTCTTTATTCTGGTCATTGTAGACAAAACACATAGAGATTCAGAATTTGTCATATCTACGTTAAAGTATTTTTAACAGCAAATAGTGGAATAAAATGTTAGTTGCAATGTTTAATGGTGTGGAATTGGAAAGATGAAGCACAAATAATTACTACTTCTATTAAATGGGTCCTTAATATTTACCTTCTTGCTATAATGTCGGCACAAATAGAGCATAACAGTAATGTTGCACTGATGTTCATAGAGGAAATGAAATCCATGTATTACCTATTAATCGTCTGAAAAAAATATACTATTATTGAAATATATTTACAGGAGAAGACTATTTACAATTGATTACAGCTATAAAAGCATAGTTGCCCCATTGACAGTGGGGCTGCTGTAAGAGTATTATTATCCTTTGTTCATAATGAACACTAGGAGATTCTATGGATCCAGTGAGTAGGCTCAAGAGTATCAGAATCAAGGCCACTGGCTTCAATCACTCTACCGAGGGATTGGACTTTGACCACTATTCTCAGTGGACTGGACCATATAAAAATACATCCAATGTTGTTAGATATACATTTACATTTTAGTCATTTAGCAGACGCTCTTATCCAGAGCGACTTACAGTTAGTGAGTGCATACATTTATTTTATTTTTTATTTTATACTGGAATCGAACCCACAACCCTGGCGTTGCAAATGCCATGCTCTACCAACTGAGCTACATCCCTGCCGGCCATTCCCTCCCCTACCCTGGACGACGCTGGGCCAATTGTGCGCCGCCCCATGGGTCTCCCGGTCACGGCCGGCTACGACAGAGCCTGGATTCGAACCAGATATACATATATTGAGACATACTGTATCTTGTTTTTACCCTAAAGGTATGTCTCATTCAAATATTCTACAATAAACAGTGAACAGTTACATATTGAGAGAATTATGGGTTTCTCAAAATGAAGCATTTCTAGTTAACCGTTGATAGCCAGGGACAGACCTTCCTGAAAATGAAATGTCAACTCCTTTCTCTCCTATCTCAGAACAATAAATTACAATGTACACACACAGAATCTACTTGTTTGACTGCCTGACTGCAGTCGTTCTATAACAGCACCTCTTCCATTGCTGTACTTAAAGTGCTACACCCCATTCTTTCATCCAACACAGCATGGGACAATACAGTGACAAGTAATGTACTGCAAAACCATCACCTAGCAACCCACAGCAAGGGGTCACATTACACTGTAATGAAGTGGAACCATAGAACATACTTCTTATGGCATATGTGGATGCTAACCATATACCCTAGTATTGCATAATCTACTTTTGATTACAATTAAAGTAACTGTCTATTGAAAATCTCACATAAAAGCTAATTCTGTTTACTCATACTAAAATAATGTTGTTGACTGGTCCTATTCTCGTATTTGTGACAAAAGCATGAATAAAAGAAAAAATACTTAAACCCCACCTCAAAAATGCTTGCTATTTCCTCATTTAACATGATGTCACGTTGGGTCATTGGCTGAGCTGGCCAATGAGCTGTTTACTTGTCATTCATATTTTTAATTTTTTACATTTACATTTTAGTCATTTAGCAGACGCTCTTATCCAGAGCGACTTACAGTTAGTGAATACATTTTTAAAAAAAAATTATACTGGCCCCCCGTGGGAATCGAACCCACAACCCTGGCGTTGCAAACGCCATGCTCTATCAACTGAGCTACATCCCTGCCGGCCATTCCCTCCCCTACCCTGGACAACGCTGGGCCAATTGTGCGCCGCCCATGAGTCTCCCGGTTGCGGCCGGGTATATGCCCACACCATTCTGTTGTTGGGGTAAGCCCACACCATTCAAATGCAGAAAAGCTACTTTTTAACTACCATTTCTTAGAAGGAAAACTATTTCACTCATTTTGTAATTAATTATAGGTCATATTTCATAGAAATCTGGAAACACTGGACAGTTATGTAAATGACGACTGACTGTAAGGAGTAAAGAACAATGTAAGTCACGGTTATTACATTGTTATTATAACATACATCAAAGTTTGATCCTTGATGAATCCACCAAGGTTTTGTAAAAGGTTATTTAAAGGTAGACTCAGCTATATGACGTAGATGTAGAAAGTAAACATTATAGTGGGTCAATTTCCGCAACAACTAAGAGTGTTGAAGCTCGAGGCTCAACTTAACAGCATGAAACACACCCAGGCACAGATACTGTGCGTGACTGTGTAAGACCGAGATCTTGCATCTTGCTCGTCTCAATATCTGCAGTGCTGCTCGTGGCAACGTCATTTAGCTGAGTCTACCTTTAATGTGATAACTCTAAATCCTCTAGCCTAATTGTTTTAAAAATCTATATCCTTACAACAAATAAAAGCGCAAAATATTGATGTAAAACAAAAAGGATCCCTGTGCATTCCATACAGTATTCTGTACGAAAATGGTAGTTGTTTAAAACGAAAAGCAATCATAATGAGCTATGTTTATACCTGGGGTGCTAACATGCGTCCTTTGTCCTGATCGTGTCCACATTCTGATTGTGCCCACAATTTTAGACAGATGTAGTCGTAGGTCAGCTCTTCCTGACCACCTCCATAGGTAGTCAGACACACATTGTGTCTGGATATCTAAGTGTAGACTGATCTGCACAGTGAAGCCATTTAAATCATCATTATTTCACCCTCTAAAATCATTGACAGGTGGCACCATTGACTTATTCCATCAATATGTGTCTTCAAATAAATAAATATTATTTGGAAAGAATATCTGAAATAATTGCATACAGGAAAGGACCAGGAAATCTGGTCACAATGCAGACACAGTGGATGGATAAGAGACACATTTTAATACCATATGTCTGAAAATGTGGACACAATCAGAATGTGGACAAGATCAGGACAAAGAATGTATGTTGGGGCCAGGTTTAAACAGGGCTTTAGTGTCATATTCATATGACATTATACATACATATAGAAACATTTCAGAAGTTGTTGACTTCTTGTTCCTTTAATTGGTCAATAAAAACCTTCAGGAACCTACTGTACATACGTTTAAAAAGTTAGTACAAACAAAAATGAACTCCCTAAGACGCACACACCACACGTCTACTTGCCATTAGAACATGAAGGATTCCTCAGAAGGTCGTGAAGCATATTGAAAGGGGTAACTTCCAAAATGTGGATATGCCAATGCAACTAATGATAAAGGCCCTGTGTGGCCATAATGTGCCAACATGGGTCTGGAACCAGCCGGTCCAACAGCCTTGCTGCATGACTGATAAGGAGTCCCTCTGGCTCTTCTCTAAAGTTCTGATGCTGTGAGGGGAGGCTGTCCTTCCACAGTTGTTCTGAGGTGAGGCTAGTCCTGCCCCGGCCGGCAGCAAGACTGTGTGGCTGTGATGTATCCTGGAGTGACCTACCTCCAAAACGGGTCCTGAGCTCTAGCACACTGAGCACGTCTTGGACCCTTTACATAGCAAGAATACAAAAAACAATACATGTTTAAGGATAATCTGTATTACTTTTAATCCACAGACAAAATGCCCTCTAAACTACAGAGCAATAGTATATCCACCACTCTGACCTGACTGGGCTTCCAGGATGGCCTGCTTGGCCTCGTACTCTTCCTGCTTGGCCTTCCACTCCTTCCTGTTGTTCAGCATGCCATCATACATCGGCTGGATGGCCGGATGGAAGCGGGTGAATTCCTGACGGATAAACAACAAAACAAAAACTTGAGAGCTCTTCTGTTTCTGACAGTCAAGCTATCTAACCAGATAATGCTAGTCTGAATGGCAATTATTTGTGCATTTGGTCATTCTACACATCCAATTGAAGGTATGCCAACTATTTGACCAAACACTAAGATCTATTGATTCATGGTTTACTTTGTGCTTAGCAATAACTGTGAAGCTGAGTGATGTAGCTAGTCTGAACGAGTGGTAGTACATGCAGTAACGTTACCTTGTAGACAAATGTGCAGACAAAGTCAATGAAACCACACTGCAGCTTGGGCAGCTGACCAGCGCAGTTTATGTCCATCATGGCCTGGATGAAAAGGAGGGAGAAACATGGTTTCACACACACACACACACAAAAAACGTAGGTCTTCATCAGCCATCCTGGATGTGTCAAAATGTATGTGGATGTGCGCAGAACACACACACACGTTGATATACTCACAATGGGTTGTTTTTCAAGAACTTCCCTTTCCAAGTCACCCTGCACCCAGAACTCAGCTGCTTCAGACAGCGCCACCTGGAAGAAGCCAGGCAGTCCAATGTATTTCACTATATTGGATAGCTATATTCATTTACAGAAACACAAAAGCATCTGCTAAAATGTCTTCAAGGTATATAATCAAGCTATAATCAGGGGAGGTGCTCACCTTGCTTTGTACCTCCCATGGCTTAGTGAGGGCTGACAAGTCACATGCTATCATCATCATGGCCCTTTAAGGGAAATTATCGAAGGTTCAGCGTACTATAGAAATGCTAAGATAAGATCCAATGTGCATGTTATAATCCTACATATCCCCCTATCACTACAATCCTCCCTCTACCATGAACTGCACTCACAGGACAATCTCTTTCCTGGTAGTCTCCAGGGACATCCAGTCCACCCACTTCTTCTCATCTTCGTAGGTCTTTGATAGGTCAACAATCTTCTGGAACATTGTTCGCTTCCTGGTGACATTGGAAAATGTCCAAACAGAGATTTATACATTCAGTTAAAGTTATAAGCAGCGCATTGTGAAATCTTGTTTCCGCAACTTTACAGGGTTAAGTAGGCTTGATCGTCACATCTAAATCCGTGCTTTAATATGCAGAAAAAGAGTCCACATTGACAACAAAACATTTTTCCTAAGATTTGCATAGGGCATACAATATGTATTGCAGTTACAGTGCTTTCGGAAGTATTCAGACCCCTTGACTTTTTCCACATTTTGTTACGTTACAGCCTTACTGTAAAATTGATTAAATAAATCATTTTCCTCAGAAATCTACACACAATACCCCATAATGACAAAGCGAAAACAGGTTTTTATAAGTTTTTGCAAAATGTATTAAAAATAAAAAACTGAAATACCTTATTTACATAAGTATTCAGACCCTTTGCTATGAGACTCAAAATTGAGCTCAGGTGCATCCTGTTTACATTGATCATCCTTGAGATGATTAAACAACTTGATTGGAGACCACCTGTGGTAAATTCAATTGATTGGACATGATTTGGAAAGGCACACACCTGTCTATATAAGGTCCCACAGTTGACAGTGCATGTCAGAGCAAAAACCAAGCCATGAGGTTGAAGGAATTGTCCGTAAAGCTCAGAGACAGGATTGTGTTGAGGCACAGATCTGGGTAAGGGTACCAAAAAATGTCTGCAGCATTGAAGGTCCCCAAGAACACAGTGGCCTCCATCATTCTTAAATGGAAGAAGTTTGGAACCACCAAGTCTATTCCTAGAGCTGGCCGCCCGGCCAAACTGAGCAATCGGGGGAGAAGGGCCTTGGTCAGGGAGGTGACCAAGACCTCGATGGTCACTCTGACAGAGCTCTGGAGTTCCTCTGTGGAGATGGGAGAACCTTCCAGAAGGACAACCATCTCTGCAGCACTCCACCAATTAGGCCTTTATGGTAGAGTGGCCAGACGGAAGCTCCTCCTCAGTAAAAGGCACATGACAGCCCGCTTGGAGTTTGCCAAAGGGCACCTAAAGACTCTGACCATGAGAAACAAGTTTCTCTGGTCTGATGAAACCAAGATTGAACTCTTTGGCCTGAATGCCAAGCGTCACATCTGGAGGAAACCTAGCACCATCCCTACAGTGAAGCATGGTGGTTGCAGCATCATGCTGTGGGGATGTTTTTCAGTGGCAGGGACTGGGAGACTAGTCAGGATTGAGGGAAAGATGAACGGAGCAAAGTACAGAGAGATCCTTGATGAAAACCTGTTCCAGAGAGCTCAGGACCTCAGACTGGGGCAAAGGTTCACCTTCCAACAGGACAACGACCCTAAGCACACAGCCAAGACAACGCAGGAGTGGCTTTGGGACAAGTCTCTGAATGTCCTTGAGTGGCCCAGCCAGAGCCCGGACTTGAACCCGATCGAACATCTCTGGATAGACCTGAAAATAGCTGTGCACCAATGCTCCCCATCCAACCTAACATAACTTGAGAGGATCTGCAGAGAAGAATGGGAGAAACTCCCCAAATACAGGTGTGTCAAGCTTGTAGCATCATACCCAAGAAGACTCGAAGCTGTTATCGCTGCCAAAGGTGCTTCAACAAAGTACTGAGTAAAGGGTCTGAATACTTATGTAAATGTGATATTTCTGTTTTTTATTTGTAATAAATTAGCAAAAATGTCTAAAAACTAGTTTTTGCTTTGTCATTATGGGGAATTGTGTGTAGATTGATGAGAAAAAAAAAGATTTAATCAATTTTAGAATAAGGCTGTAACCTGACAAAATGTGGAAAATGTCAAGGGGTCTGAATACTTTCCAAAGGCACTGTAAGTAAATACAGATGTAGGATCTTAATTTGATCACTCTTTTGTTGCGGATAATTTTCCTGCACAGCATGAAATGCAAAACTTGTAGTGTATTCAAGCTTTAAAAAGTATTCTAAAGTTTGTAATTTCCACTTTAAAATGTCAGATTTGCCCTAATGAAAAATGTATAAACCCCTACAAAAAATGTCCATCAATTTTAATCCACATAATAATTCACATTTCCTGTTGCTGCAGGATTATTTTCCTGCTGTAGCAAACTTAATTGAATTAAGCTCCTAACTCCTGAGTGGCGCAGTGGTCTAAGGCACTGCATCACAGTGCTAACTGTGCCACTAGAGATCCTGGTTCGAATCCAGGCTCTGTCGCAGCTGGCCGCGACCGGGAGACTCATGGGCGGCGCACAATTGGCCCAGCGTCGTCCAGGGTAGGGGAGGGAATGGCCGGCAGGGATGTAGCTCAGTTGATAGAGCATGGCGTTTGCAACGCCAGGGTTGTGGGTTCGATTCCCACGGGGGGCCAGTATAAAAAATATATATATATGTATTCACTAACTGTAAGTCGCTCTGGATAAGAGCGTCTGCTAAATGACTTAAATGTAAATGTACATTTGTAGGGAGCTCAGGTGCGTTACTCACTTGAAATAAAGTTGCAAATCTGTTGCAATGATGGCAATGTCCATGAGGTGGATGGCATGCTCATTCTGTCTTCTGTTGAGGTTCTGGTAGATATTCAAGGACTGGGGGAGGATGGAGGAGTTAGACTACAGCATGTGATCAACATGGAAGCATAAAGTATAAATAATTGACATCAAATGTGCTGCTGTAGTAGTGAACGTTTATGGCTGAGATACAAAAGCCTTACGTACCTCGTCTGCCAGAAGGAACTTGCTAAATTCTAGATGATGCCTCTCCAGGACGGATGAGCCGTGAAGCTTGGCTATTGGGTTACCAGATCTGTTCATGAGGGGAGACCAGACCAGACACTGTAAAGAGCTCATCATAAGCCATTCATCACACAAAGCTAATCAAGGTGCTTCTCCACATGCAAGGCCTCAGTTATGATGAGAGAGTGAGTAAAATAAGAGACCCAGAGATAAGTTAAGGACTGGTTGTACAGATGTAGGATCTTAATTTGATCACTATTTTGTTGCTGAGAATTTTCCTGCTCTGCAGGAAATGCAGATGAGCTTCGTGATTTACATAAATTCACTGAAAACCCACACTAACACGACTATATTAACAGTATTGCACTTTTCATGTAGCTTACTTTTGGCCAGCTAATAGCCTAACCACCGATCAAGCAACATAATGGACTAAACATTCAAATCCTGTTGCTGCAGGACTATTTTGCTGTGTCAATACTGGTCAAATTAACATCCAACATCTGTACCAACTTTCAGAGAACAGAGTAAAAAGAGAGCAGATAATCCCAGGAGTACTCACTTCACCTGGTAGAGGTTGTTGGTGCCCCTGTGGTCGATATCATGGAGGAAAGCAGATGTGATCATTGCCATCACCTCTAGATCTGTGTAGTATCTCTTCAGGTTCCCTGTCTGACACAACAAAATACAGCAGTTAAACTTTCAGAATTAGAGATCTTTCAATTATGTCTTCAGTTAAGTTTTTTAGCAAGTAAGAAAATGTGCCTTTTATTTTCTGTGAGACAAAATAAAGTTAGGGTGCATTACTGAGGCGTAAGCATTCCTACCGTCAGCAGTGTGAACATGGTCTGTCCGACATTGAAACCGTGGCGCCAGTTGTGATAGGGCATTTTCCTGTAGCCTTTGCTGATAGAGTACATGAAGCGCACCAGAACCTGTTGAAATAAACAAAGATGCCTGTTGGTTTTCATAGGATTTGGAAGTGTGGCTTAAGAGGTATATAACTTTAGAACTTTAGAGCATTTGCAGATAGTATGGGAGAGCAATAAAGTAACTAATGACAAACTGCATAGAAATGATTCAGAATTGACACTTTCCCTGCATTGAAAGATGTTGCAGTACAGATCATGATTGTACTGTACCTCCTGTGGAACCTGGAACTTCTTGACCACTCCGACCTCATAGAACATCTGGATCCCACACATCACCAGCTCCAGCTCTGTGAGGTCAAAGTCAGAGAACCCGAACTCATAGATCTCAAACTTCTTGGGGCCAGGTAGTTCTTTTTTCTGTGTGATAATGCATGATTATTATGGCATTATTAACAAAAACTAAACATGCAGATGTAGGATCTTAATTTGAGCTAGTTTGCTACAGCAGGAAAATAATCCTGCAGCAACAGGATATTTGAATTATTATGTCGATTATAATTAATGGGCATTTTTGTAGGGAAAATCAAGCCTTTTTAAACCTCAAATACACTATAGGTTTTACATTTCCTGCATTTCAGGAAAGTTATCCTGCAACAGGGTGATCAAATTAAGATCCTACATCTGTACAACCATATAAATCTAGCTTTCAAATGCAGACCTACTGTTCCAGTACTTATAAATGTACTCTAGTGACTAAATCAGGGATAATTCTACAACCTCCAGATTATGACCAAATTGTTATTCTACAAATATAAGGTAGTAATACCAGAATCTGCAGGAACTCATCCTCTTCACAGTCACAGGGCTCTCTGTTGAAATACTGTCTGGTTTTCTAACAGACATGAAACAACAATGAGTGTCAAACATTAAAACAACACTTCTCGTGTAAAGGAGGTTAGATCTGTGGTGTATATCTTTGAGCAAGGCTTCACCAGGATTTTCTGTATTTCGTCATCACGGCACTTGACGTGGTAGAGCACCATGTCCTGAGCGATATCTTTCCGGTTCTCTATCATTTTCATCCTGTCATAGGTGTCTGTATTGAGGTGGGACCAGCCCAGGAAGTTAGTCATAGCCTGGGGAGACCGACAGAAACAATGCCATTCAGAGTAGGTTCACTCAGAAGCCAACATGGGTAGACAGACAGTCACAATATCATTCAGAGTAGGTTCACTCAGGTCAATGTGGTGAAGAGAGTGGGAGGCATTTGGCTGCCACAGTGCATTGTATAAATGAATGGTATACACAAAAAATACGGAGAACAAGGCTTTCTAGAGCCACTTGACTTCGCCACTTGTTGAGAAGCCAGTTTGGTGCTGTAGTACAGCAAAGTACCTCCATTAGCTCCTCATCCTGCTGATCGAATGGCTTCCCATCTTTCCTGTTGTAGAATGTAGCCACGCCCACAATCTCTTCCGTCATGTTGACGATTGGCATGGACAGCACATTCTTTATGGTCCAACCACTATCATCCAAGGGTTCTGACTGTATTATGGGAAGACACAACGTAAATGGTCAACAGGAATTATGGAAATTGCTAAACCTTTTGCAAAAAACACATGCAAGGATACTTGATTTTATAAGGAAGCAAATGTACCTGAAACTTGAACATCTCCTCTGTTATGGGATTTATGATGTTGCATATCTAGATATTCAAAATAAAGAGTACAGCATCAACAACACATGCAAATCATGGCAATTTGAACATTGTGTTATTTTCAAGTCAATTCCAAATTCTGATAGCATTTCAAACACTTGCTATTGGAATGCCAGTTAAAAGGGGGAATTTACAAGACCAGTTTCAGCCACATATGTGGGAAGTCCAGTACACAAAACCCAGTGTTCTGGAGTGGGACTCCTGTTGACAACACAGTCAGACAACACACACTGATTATTCTGCTATACAGTATCAAACACAGACCTTGGTTCAAACACTATTTCAAATATCTCAATTACTTTAACATACATTCAAAGTAAGTATTCAGAAATATTTCATTTGAAAAGACAAGTAGTTGAACATTTTAATGTATTTGGAAATACATTTGGAAATAATTAGACAAATGTGAATACACTGACTCAAATACACTCCCCTTGCGTTTAACCCAAGTATTTGAAAATTGTATTTGAAATAAGTATTTGAAAATCCTCTTAAATACAATTTGGTAGACATTTTGGTTTTACAAATAACCATTTAAATACTCAAATAAAAGTACTTGTTTTGAACCCAGGTCTGATCATACAGGGTTGAAACTACCTCAACTATACACTAATGTTCAGAGAAAAGTGAGATAAACATACGCGATAACTTTGATGTCCTCTTTTCCATGCAAAATATAATCAATGACTTTGTAGAATATGACTTCCTAGAATCACAGATAACAAAAAAAATCACAGACCATAAATAAACATTTGCAGAAACAAAGGCAAAAAGGTAAAGACCAGTTCATGGGGTAATAAGTAGATAGATATAAACACTTACTCTGCCATCAGGGGTAAGAGGTCCAGAGTAGGGGGGCTGGTCTCCCATCAACACTGGCCAGATGTCAAAGAACTCCTATAGGAACAAAGCAATAACACAGATGGATTGTCACACACAGCGTATTAATAATATATACAGAGCCTTCAGAAAGTATTCATACCCCTTGATTTATTCCACATTTTGTTGTGTTATAGCCTGAATTTATAATGGATTAAATAGATTATTACGCACAGAAAATGAAATACAGAAATATCTAATGTATATAAGTATTCACACCCCTGAGTCAATACATGCTACAATCACCTTTGGCAGTGATTACAGCTGTGAGTCTTTCTGGGTAAGTCTCTAAGAGCTTTTCACACCTGGATTGTGCAACATTTGCCCATTATTCTTTTCAGAATTCTTCAAGCTCTATCAAATTGATTGTTGATCATTGCTAGACAACCATTTTCAAGTTTTTGTTAATAGATTTTCAAGCCGATTTTAAGTCAAAACTGTAACTCAGCCACTCTGGAACATTCAAGTATTACCAGAGGAGACCCATAATAACTATTCTTTATGATGACTAAATGGCTGGATCATTCTTGAATTGCGGTGGCATTTACGTCCCTCACCTTTGCAACCATGAAAAACACTTTAAAATGACACATAGTTACATATCACACATTAACTGTTTATCAATGATAAAACATAATGCAAGTCCTTTATACTGCAAAACTCTATGTTTGTGCATGGTTTAAAGTACTTAGGGCAAGCAAATTGGCTTGTTCCAGTAGTGATGAGTAGAGTTGTAGTGACATGTTTTGGGGTTTTGGAGATACAGTGTATCTATTATTTTCAATGCAAGAAATTAAACAAAAGTATTGAATCTACTTTATAGATCAATAAAAACCAAGAAGGCGTAAGACAATGCCGCAATTGAAGAATGTCCCGACTACATGCAGACAGTGTCACCCACCTTCTCCTTCGTCATGTCCAGTAGGCCCACAGAATACCTGTCACAGTTCAGGTACGCCCGCACTGTATACAGGGCTTTGTGGAACTGTCTCTCAATGTCTGTCAGCTCCTCAAACACCTTGTTGGCAGACCACAACAGGACCTATACCCGACAGAAAAACAACAACCACCAGTTGGTTGATATCTCAATAAACGTGTGAAAGCTAAAAAATGGCCTTTTTTGTGTGTTCACCATATTGTCATCTACAACTAGTAATTCCTCTGAATATCAGTGCAGACAGCAGACTCACCTGTCCTTTTCGAGTCTCACAGTTGTACAGGTAGTTCAGCTGGTAAATCTTCAGGTTCAAAGTGGCTATTCTGAGGTACTTCAAAAAAAGCTGGGAGACCAAAAATATGAATTATTATTACAGAGAAATACATACATTGATGTGTAATCAAGGTGGTAGAGGAAAGACGAGAGCGACGAATGCAAGTATGTGAAAACATCAGGTGTGAATTTAACCTTCCTCTCCATTAAGGCAGCAATGGCACAGTTTGTATGTGTTCCCTGTGTTTGTTTGATGGACATGTTTCTGTTCTACAACATCAGTCAGTGTTTATATGCTGCATATGCTTTGAGTGAACAAACTTTGGGATGGGACAAAACCTGTTGATTACTCATCCCCAACTAATTCAAGCTCTAATGTCATGTAATGACCTCGTAGTATTTCCATTGTGATACTGACACATGGAGATGTGTGGATCCTTTTCTCAGATAGCCTTCTTCCTCAGTACTCACATCCTCATCCTCAGCAGTGAAGTGTGGTCCAGTAGTCTTGTTCAGGGCCATGATCACAGCCACCACATCCTCTCCGTTCATGATGGGCGAGGCTAAAATGTTCATGGTCTTGTACTCTGTCAGGTCATCGACGAACGAGCTGAAGTGACTACTCTGTATTGCAGAAAACAAAACAAATCACTGACATCAGAGATCACACATGGATGTGTTAAGACAGGTCTGTCTGTAAGTCAATACATGGGCTTGGTTTTGAGCTTTTTCAGTTTACATATCATTATAGGCCACAGATTAATAATACATGTTAATCTCTGGCATTTTCAGTTTACATAACATTGTAGGCCACAGATTAATATAACTGCTCAGGTAAGAAGTACACTCCATTATCAAGAGTGAATGTAAATCTGGGCAATATGAAATATTAATTAATTTGATCCGTGTTAGCTTCCTGCTGACCCTAGTGTAAACGCCCCCAGAACAGGTGCCATAATCCCAGTTACACCAGGGGGTCAAGGGATATATAATAACTGGATTATATCTGTCAAGAGGATTTATGTTGTCTCCAGATATACATTTAGAACCTCCCCACAGTACAGTATAGTTGCAATACCACTTTGTGTGACACTGTGTTTTAGCAAAAAACACAATTCTAACAATTTGTGTATGTTCGGATAGGCATGGATTGAATAACTATTAACTTTTTTGTCTGGCTGAACATAAACTTGATACATCTATTTATTTTGCAATTGTTTGATATTTTTGGTAGTTGGTACAGCTAGAAAATAATATAATGTAGGAGTGTGTGACAAGGCCTTGTAAAAGATTATTAACACAATCTCACTGAAGCCACTGGCTCCTAGCCTCTGGGACACTGTCTGTCTGTCCTCATCACTACCACAACGTATATCTTTCATTTCCCCGTCTGACTCTTACCTCATTGACATCTTTCAAATTGACGTGTTTCTTGGTCTGGGCCACATTTCCCACCACCCCAAGGTCCAGGGGGAAGACGATCTCGTGGTCAGGGTGCACCACACAGTCGTCCAGCTCCGACTCTGTGGTGATGTTGAAGAGACGTGTGGCCAGCTCCGCGATGCCGTTCCTCTCCCGGTACATGAACAGGCTGCAGCGGTCGGCTTGGATCAGGGCGACGATCCTCTTCAGAATCTTAAACACCACTTTCTCCATGTTCACATTCTCCTGCATTTCTTTGATCAGGTCGAACAGGATCTGGCCTTCTTCTATCTGGCTCAGCTCCTGTAACATCCCAAAATCTACCTTGGACTCCGAGATGCCTGCCATCACAGAGAGGGCCCCCGGTGTGAGCTTCTTGTTAAAGTAGCCCTGGGCGAAAGCCGGGTTCCCATCCAGGAACTTCTCAACATCTTCCTTCGTCGCACTCATCTTGGGTTGGGGATGTACTGGTTCTACCCCAGTCCCAGTTTTCAAACCACAGTCTCTAAAAAGACAACAAAACCAATGATCTATTGATTACTAGTAAATAAAAAAGAGGGCAGGCAGGGTAGGCACGTTAGTTAGGTCCTGCTGTGAACAGAGGAGACACTTGCAATGGCAGGGGAAGGCTGAGTCCAATCCCACTGTCATCAGCAAGCTTTCACTTAATAGTGTTGAAGGTGAGCCAGGATCTGCTCATGCAAAACTGATCAGGTGATCACTATGAAGGAGGCCAACCCAGTCCTTTCATTGGCCGATTACCTCCTCTTCTTTCGCCCCTCGCCAGGTTTAGAAAACAAGCCTGAAGGAAAAGAGATCCGGACTTCCTCAAAGGACACACATGTCTGAAAGCAGTTAGCCTTAAGATGTCCCCCTGTTTGGTTTGTCTCCAACTGTAGCCTGCTCTTGCCCCAGGCAGGCATCACACACACAAGCTCTTAACGTTCTTTTAAAAAAAAAACACTCCTCATTGCTAAGCCCTATTTAGCCAGGCCACTAGTTGATTATCTCAGCACCCCAATTATGTTGTCCTCAGTCAGTTCTACTGCTATGGGAGCCTTCACAGGCCAATGCTGGTTGTAGCCTTCAGAAGCAGAAGAATATTTGATACACATCTGAAGCACATTACATTTAAGATTGTAGGTTTGTGGAGAAAAAAATTGCCTTACTTACAGCAGTATCTGCTATTTCCTCCAATTACAATATTACATTTATAAATAGAAATGATTAGGTGAGAGACAGACGGACAGAGAGAAAGACATGTATGGGGGTCTATAAGACAAGCCTGACGATAAAATGCCAATCATCTTTCCACCCTGGCTATATTAAGGTTCCTTAACCATCTTATACAAAAGGTCAGCTGGATAATCTCTACATGAATAGATTCATACTATCAGATCTGCTACCTGTGAGTGAGACGAGGCTGGCGAGGGAGGTGTGTCTGTCTGTGTGCATGTGATATGTACTGTGCAACGTATGTGCACATGCATTGGCATCTGTTTCATTCCTATGAACCTGTGCGTGTCTGTCTTCCTTTATGAGGGTGTGTGCTTACAAGCATTTGCTTATGAGGGTGTATAAAACAGTATAGTCTGTAATGTTTGTTATTCAATATTACGTTGGATACAACTACTATTACTTTATTATAAATATTGAATGATTTAAACAGTTCTTTCATCACAAACCTCTGAAACTACAAATGGAGATGAGGGATTTAACCAATGTACACATTTAATGATACTATCATATTAACCCAGCCATTGCAAGCCTTTACATTACCTGTTCGTCACCAATGAACTGTTGACCCCTTGTGGTGCATTACGTCCATGGTGCAAGGCCCAAACCAGTACATGCTGGTGGTACAGTGCAACAACACAACACAAGATGGCAGCCGGCTTATACTGAGGACCAAGCAAATTGAACTTCTACTGTTAATCATTGCTGCTGAGGCTGACCATGCCATTGAGATACATGCCATCAAAATTGTATTCAAAATATTTAGTTCAACCAGTAAATATTAGAACCATTGCTTGTTTGTCATACTCCTTATGTTATTTTTTACTGGCACTAGAATTTTTTTAATGTAATTTCTATTAATTTAATGTGTCAGAAATAGTCAGCAAATGTATGCTCCCTCTCAGCCTCTTTACCAAAGGTACAAATTAATGAAAAGCAAAAACACACCTAGACTCACTTTCCACTGGTCTAAATTATTACTATAAGATTGTAACCAAATACGCCTGTACAGAAAAAGCTTTGGACTGTCTGACCAGTGGCGGCTCCTGAAAAAATTCTCAAGGGGGGCAATTTTTCTGATGATTTAGGTGACCTACACACATTTTAAAAAAGATATGTCCAGCAACAACATGAAGACAGGGGCAGCATATAAGTCAATACCAGAAGCATTTATTGACTGATCTCAAAAGTGTTGGCTTACCAGGGTTGGTGGAGCCCTCAGTTTCATCTTTGCCTCGCAAAGCTAACTCAAACACTCCGCAAAACTTCACACACTGGATTAGCCGGCTGAGGATGTGGCGGTTCTTGCTAATGTCGTAGTAAATATATTTGTTATAGTGAATATGGAATATGATATGTTGAGTAAAATGTTGTGCTAAGATCTATTTAGGTCAGGAGCTGGTTATAAGTTCTGTTCCTATCCAATAACAATGGACAAAAGGGTCCTATCTTGTCAGCCTTGTCAGTTTCAGTTCTCCAGTAAACTTGTGATTATCAACACTAACCTCATCGTTGTGGCGGCGGACAGCTAGCCTGTATCCCTCATCCAGTTGAGTGGGAATGTTCACTCTCCCCAAAGCAGACAATCTCAAACAGGTATCAATGTGGGTCTTTGACAGCTCATGTTTCTTAATCTTTCCTGAAAGATGGTGCATGTCCGTTACACACCAGTCGCTGTCCAAGCGGTGCTGTCTGCCGTGCCGCCTTCAGGGTGAAAGAGTAAGCAGGGGGTAGCAGAAGACTGCATTAGCTACATCGCAGCCTGCTAGCCAGGTTTTTCGTTCGTACCAATTTTTGGAAAATCCTCGGGTGTAGGACTTCCCCCCTTTAGTAGAAACCTGTTGAATTATTAAATTTGGTCTGGGAGGTCCTAATTGTTTCGTTGCCAATTTATCTTCATTTGTTCGCCGACAAAAAGGAACTTCTTTCAAAGACACAATCGAGTTGCACTGAAGCCTAGCCATTTTGACAGTAATAGTGAATTGATTGACGCTGCTACCCGCTCTTTTCTTAGTTACGTTCATGGTTATGTTACGTATGACGAAAGCGCGTAAGTGCAAGCCCTCAGAAACCCATAGAGATTGTATTGAAAGCTCTGATATTTGAAAAAAATAGATTTTACATGGGAGTCTATGACAGACTTCTGGGCGATTTTCAACCTGACTGAAATCGCCCCAAAAGGGGGGGGGGGGGGGGGCATTTGAAGCACGACTTTAGCCTGATTGGACATTTAGTGGCACTGTGGCAGATCAGACGTCTAGATTACAACACTGATAACTACTGTTGCCGTGATATAATTGATTAGAAAAAAAATCCCTTCCTTTTCCTGTTTGGCAGTGCGTCGCCCATATCGCCCTATTGAACACACCGCCCCTGTGTCTGACACAGTACAATATCGTATGCTATCAACAGACGTGCCAACAATCTTCCATGAGGCCTTAGATTGAATGTGTGTTTACAAGTATAAATATAGTACAGGCATCAGCTTGGAGTTTGCCAGCACAGTATGTGGCTTTTAAAAGAACTACAGAACAACTAAAGAAGGACAGAACAACAAAAGAACTACAGAACAACTAAAGAAGGACAGAACAACAAAAAAACGACAGAACAACAAAAGAACTACAGAACAACAAAATAACTACAGAACAACATAATAACTACAGAACAACTAAAGAACTACAGAACAACTAAAGAACTACAGAACAGCTAAAGAACTACTGAACAACTAAATAACTACAGAACAGCAAAATAACTACAGAACAACTAAAGCAATACAGAACAACTACTAGTGCCTAAAGAGCTATTCCGGAAATAGACCATAACATTGTGTGTAATGCCTCAGAGTAGTGCTAAGAGTACAGTACAGAATGCTCTAACTACCGGAAGTGCCTTTAATTAAATTAATGGAGAGTGAATGAAGAGGGGCTGAGTAGGGGTGGTACTTCTCTGCTGGGCCTGTTAGCCAATCATTCAGGCCCAAGACAATTATGTTCAGCCCCTTGCCATCATCCCCTGTGTCTTCAGCCACACGTAGCCACTCCTCAGAGCCAGGTGTCCCCAGAGAAGTTCAGAGAGTTCCAGACAGCTCCTGGCAGGAAGCACCAGGTACTGGGATTTCACCTTGGTGTGCATATTGTCTTTTACTGGTAACAGGGGGATTAGAATAGCCTCAGCAGAAACTCCATTCAGACAGTACATGCTGGTGGTAAAAATAGGCATGTCATGTAAAAACAGGTGTTCTTAAATAACTAAGATCATGCTCACTCACATGGCACTTGTTGCACAATTTTACTAAGGTCACCGGGTCAGGGTGGATCTCCCCAGATGACGAGAGTAATCTAGGACATTTCAGCCACACCCTGCAGACTTGAAATGGAAATGGTGTGTGTGTGTGCCTAAGTGCGTTCAAGTGTGTGTGTGACACAACAGAAGCACTAGTGTTTACTGTATGTTTGTTCCCGCTGAGTTTGTACACAGACTCCATAGAGCACAACACATACAGTACATAACCTTAAAGCCATTTCACCACACCAGTCATGTACAGTACATCAGAGCCAAACGAAGCCTAACATAATGTAGAAAACACTAGCTCACACTATACAGCTGCAGGCCTTTAACAAGTCAATTATCAGGACTGTTTAAAATAACACATAGAGCACCAACAGTCACAACAGTTGATAGCAATAGTTTGACAGAGAGAGATCTGGCTGGTGAATGAGACTATAATATTGATGGTTAGGAATGCCTCTCAAGTGACACTTCACATAACCGTACATGACATTTCAAAAATACTATTTTAGCCTGCTGGCTGTTTAATCATACTCCAGGATCTCCAAACTAGTCTCAAGGTCTACAAAGCAGTGCTGCTGGTAGTATTCCATCATCAGCATAGTAATGATTTATTTACGTGCTTGAACACAACAAACTAATCCTAATGGTCATTGGTGTTTGGACAATACATTGTCCCATTGTAAGTGTGTGTGTGTGTCTTCACAGTTACATAAAGCCCTAATTGTTTTTACGGGAGGCATGGGCGGATTCAGAAGCGAAGCCAGATTACAGTCAGGATTTCACCAACCGGATTAACCCGTGATTTAAGCACCTTATTTACTTACAAGAAGTTAAAATAATCAGTACGCTTGTCTGTGTTCACTGTATATAAAGGACCCCAAACACAAGAGACTCCAAAACGAACAACCACAAAACACTGAATTCTACTCGTTGCTCATCTTCATTAAGACAGGTAAGGTCCATCGTCTTGGTGGAGAGGATCCATGGATATATTTCATGCTATTATAGGACTTGATTATCTCACTGAAAATGTAAATATCGTTATTGAATACCGTATGAATTGTTTTTGGAAGATACTAGCCAGCTAAGAATGAGTTGTGCTTTTGTATAGATGTGCATGCAAAATATGGGATTCGACAGCTCATTTCTACCTCGCGACCCTATGAATATGTAACAGAAAGACCATTGTACCTCAGAAAAAAATATAAGAATAGCTATTTCTGATGTTATTTTACTCCAACAAGAACTACAGTGTCTCTGGGAATGCATTGAATGTTTACTAACTTGGAGGCAGATGATTTGAGGTTCTCTCGCCGATCTGGTGTGCATCTTGTCTGGTGTGGTCAGTTCATCCCCATTGTCTCTCTCCCTCTGTCTGCTGTGCAGCATGGGATCCTCAAAGCTGGCTTTCATTATGGTCCTGATGGCCTGCGTAGAACACGCCTGGTCTGCCTCCTGTGTGGTCGACAGCTTCACAGTCAAGGCGGACTTCGACCCTAAGAGGGTGAGCTTTGCTACAGTACACACATTAGGGGTCACATCCCTAGACAGATAAAAACAAGAGAACAATGTCAGTTTTAAACATGATCGGATAAACATGGCTACGATAATGTGTAATGCAAATGCATAAGAGATGACTACAATGATCTACTGAATTAAGTCTTGAATCTCCATATATCAATTTTGTGCTCTGGATTTCGATCCTCATTGTCTACTGTTTGTGAGTTTTTCTCAATCTTCTGTATCTCTGGTTTTCTCTGTTGCAGTATTCTGGGAAGTGGTACGCTCTGCAGAAGAAGGACCCTGAGGGCCTGTTCCTTCAGGACAACATCTCCGCTGAGTACACCGTCGATGATGACGGCACCATGACCGCCTCCTCCAAGGGACGTGTCACTCTCTTTGGGTGAGTAGATCTGCATCAACTTGGAAGAACTAGCATATAAAGCATACACAGATGCTAAACTGATTGTCTAATTGTACGGAAGAATGTGGATTAATATCCATTTAATTGGTGACAAAACTATTTGTCTAATAGACCATAAGATTGTGGCACAAACCAATCAAATGTTATTTGGTGGACAGGAAATATAGACAACATTTTACACTGTAGGTGATGGATCGCAATAATCTTGCATATGTGTTTGACCTCTGGTTTTAAGTTGCGAGAGCTAATATGAGTTTGAGTGTGTTGACATGTTCTGGGTTCTGTGCAAATATGAGTCTGTGTTGTTGTGTTGACAGGTTCTGGGTTGTGTGCGCTGACATGGCTGCCCAGTACACCGTGCCTAACCCCACCAACCCCGGCAAGATGTTCATGAACTACCAGGGACTGGCCAGCTACCTGGCCAGTGGAGGTGACAACTACTGGGTGATTGACACCGACTATGATAACTATGCCATCACCTACGCCTGCCGTACCCTGAAGGACGATGGAAGCTGTGAAGACGGTTACTCCCTGATCTTCTCCCGTAATCCCCGTGGCCTGCCCCCAGCAATCCAGCGCATTGTCCGTGGGAAACAGGAGGAGATCTGCATGGCTGGCCAGTTTGAGCCTGTCCTGCAGTCCGGTGAGTTGGACACCTGTCTATAGGGACACAGCATGAAAACAAAGGTTAAATGATATCATGTCTAGATTATATCAATGAGCATGAAGGAGAGCATCCTAATTAATAAATGAAAGCTAAGAGGGAGCTAAGAGTTGTAGTTCAAATAGGTTTGAAAATATTCATAACAATCTGCATTATGCCCCAGCACAGAAACGTTTTCTTAGGCAGAGAACTTATTCATGCTCCCTAACCAGACTTGGACTTCTCTTTCCTCTACAGGAGCTTGCTAAATTGTCAGCGCAGCCTGCACCAAATTCCTTAAGCATGCTGGCATGAGAAGAGGCGTCCAGGGCCAATGGATAGATCCATAGCAGCGCGCTGTAGAAATGAATAGACCATGTTGCGAGGCGGGAGGGAAAAGTCAACCTCCGCCACCATTGTCTCAAGGGAAGGGTTGCTCAATCGGGGTTGGTGCGTTGTGTCAAGTCAAGTGTGTATGTGAAAATAAATATATTTTTTAAACAAATCTCTGAGTTGCATCCATGTTTAATCAAGAACTACAGTGCATTCGGAAAGTATTCAGACCCCTTACCTTTTCCCACATTGTCTTATGTTACAGCCTTATTCTAAAATTGATTTTATGGTAGAGTAGCCAGACGGAAGCCACTCCTCAGTAAAAGGCACATGACAGCCCGCTTGGAGTTTGCCAAAAGGCACCTAAAGGACTCTCAGACCATGAGAAACAAGATTCTCTGGTCTGATGAAACCAAGATTGAACTCTTTGGCATGAATGCCAAGCGTCACGTCTGGAGGAAACCTGGCACCATCCCTACGGTGAAGCATAATGCTGTGGGGATGTTTTTCACTGGCAGGGACTGGGAAACAAGTCAGGATCAAAGGAAAGATGAACAGAGCAAAGTACAGAGAGATCCTTGTACGAAAACCTGCTCCAGAGCGTCAGGACCTCAGACTGGGCTGAAGGTTCACCTTCCAACAGGACAACGACCCTAAACACACAGCCAAGACAACGCAGGTGTGGCTTCAGGACAAGTCTCTGAATGTCCTTGAGTGGCCCAGCCAGAGCCCGGACTTGAACCGGATCGATCATCTCTGGAGAGACCTGAAAATAGCTGTGCAGCGACGCTCCCCATCCAACCTGACAGAGCTTGAGAGGATCTGCAGAGAAGAATGGGAGAAACTCCCCAAATACAGGTGTGTCAAGCTTGTAGCGTCATACCCAAGAAGACTCGAGCCTGTAATCGCTGCCAAAGGTACTTCAACAAAGTACTCAGTAAAGGGTCTGAATACTTATGTAAATGTGATATTTCAGCTTTTCATTTTTAATAAATTTGCTTTGTCATTATGGGGTATTGTGTGTAGATTGATGGAATTGTTTTAAGAAGGTCATCATTGATGGAATTTCAATGTTGTTTGAGTTGCTTTGTGTATCACCAAATTAGCTTGAGATGATTTTACTGCAACACTGCTCACTGCATCCAAGTTGCTTGACATAGGTGTTTCAAAGTGCTGTCAGTCAAGGCGAGCTCAAAAATATAAGCTCCCCGCCTACTCAGCCTGTCTTTTCAAACTTCCTGGTAGTTAGCCATGAGAGAAAAATTACTTTTTCCACAACAAATATGCATTTCTATCCAAAACAAATATTATGGGTGAAATTGTAGTCACTCTAAAGGCTATTTTACATGGGAATCAGAACGACTGTTCGAGACCTTGAAGAAATTAGATTCTGTCATAGCCCAGAGATACATTTGTAGGTGTCCACACATACAATATTCTCATCTACTGCCAACTACCATACCTATACTCAGAATAGTACCAACTACTATGACATGAGCTCAATTTCCGGCTCACAGACATACTACCTCACCATCCACCCACACACAAACACAGTGATTAAGCATGTTATGAATCCATCCGTCTTATCCTCTACATACTGTGCACCGCCCATAATTTCACCCATATGCCTGGGGTTAAAACAGGGCCAGATTGGAAGGTGTCTCAGAAGAGGCTACGGAGATGCCTCAGAAGCGGGTTTTCACACCGATCTGATCTGATCCATTTACACCCCATGGTGTGAGTTGAGAGGTAAGAGGTTAGGCTGTCTGTCTCAACACTGTATTACTCCAGATCACGGCTGGACAGTAGAAGCTCTTTAATCGCTGGACAACAAACAATGTGGCGAGAACACACCTGATCAACACAGAACACACAGAACACACCAGAAAGTGCAGAGATCAATATGTACAAGCTTTGGTACATACAAAATACAAGAGTGAATGTGGCATTAATAAACTAAAGAAATATGCACAATTCAAATACTGTATTTTCAAATGATTTGAATTATAATATAGGCCTATGGAATAACATAGGATGGGATACATTCATCATAAAATATACAGATGAATTGCATTTTCAATATATCCCTCTATATTCTATGAATGAGTGTGGCTTTGTTGTTACGGTGTAGCTAGTTTGTTTTGAGTCTATTGTGTTGTTGTTTTGTATTCAACTGGTCCAGATGGTCCCACTCACCAGTCCCACAGACGCCAGATTGCTGATGAAAGCTTCTCCTCACAGAACCTCTTTGTAAGAGCCATGGTTAATAATATAAGTGGATTTAGCTGCTCAGTTGTTTTCCAGTAGTCTTGGCTGTGAACTGTGAGTAATGGCAGAGATTCCATTGGTCCAGGTCCAGCTAGGTCCAGACTAGGGCAGTTCGGGAAGTCTCTATCCCACACCAGCTTAACTCCTCAACACCTCAAGCCTCAACTCCTGAACCATGCGACCACAGAGATCCTATTAAATGATCATGTTAGAGTTCTAATACAGTATGTAATTCTATGTGAGACCCCAAAGCCTTTATCCGGAAAGTCCCCAGGTTTAATGAGAATATGGTCAACACACAATGTGACCTTGATTATTAACAGAATAGCTGAGTTGTAGTTTTGCAATAGGCTAATCAAGCTAGTTATTCAGGAATTGTTTGCTAGCTATATTTTCTCCACAGAGAATGTAATCCTGAGAATTTTATATTTTTCATTTACCAGTCCAGTCCCCTCTCTCGTGAACTCTAACCCCACAAAAATAAATATATCATCATTAGCTAGGTGGAACTGACAGCGTTTTAATGACTTTACAGATATGAAACAAACAGAAAATCATTAATATCAGCCAAAAATATCACATTCCCAGTTTATGCTACAAAACCAACTTTATAAGAGGTTTTAAAAATAGGTTCTATTTGACTCAACATTGACGTACATGAGGCATTGTACAGTAAGGCATTGTTGGCAGAATAGATGGATGCAGTTAAATGCATGATTAATATAATTCACCAATACATTTCTTGGTAGTCCAAAAAATATAGAGCCCAATAGTGGAGGTGTCATAATACCCATAAAACCTAGCGGTCAAACAGGGAAATGGTTCCAGTTGTTTTTCAACCATACAGTTTTCCCATGGAGAATTTTAGAAACACTTAAAATAAGGGCTGTGTTTCGTGTTGGCTTACCCTCTCTCGGACAAGGTGACTTTTATCAATATATTCATCTCTATAGTCTGGCACAGTGGACACGTCATAATACCCATAAAACCTAGCGATAAAACCTGGTAATGGTTTCAATCGTTTTTTCCCCATTCATTTTTGTGTTTGGGATTTTAGAACTACTTCATAAGGTCTGTTTTTCGTGTAGGCTTACCCTGGCGTGACATTTTGATAGCCTCTGTAATTCTCCCTCGGACAAGGTGAGTTTTATTAATATAGTCGCCTCAATTTACTCTCAAAAATTTGATATGCTAATTAGCAACAGAAGACCTCACCAAGACTACACATTCCTGCAGGAAGCTCCTGCACATCCTCTCTAGCCAACACTGTCAGCTTCCGTTCACCAGTGCGAAGAGACCCGTGTCCAATCCATGAACTTCTTCCGTCCCTTTTCTGTCTTAGCTAGCCACTGACTACACCTTAGTTATCTAGTTAGCAGAGCAGTAGATCAAAAAATATTTGGTTTTACTTAGCCTAGATAATTGTTTGTACAGTATGTCGACTTGTGTGTATTTCAGACCTTATAGCATTTCTCAAGGATGAGCATAAGAGCACTAAAAGGGGAGAAGACCACTATAAGTCTGGCCATGTGGAGAAGTGCAGCTATAGTTAGGGGCAATTTACCGGATTGGTCAGGGCCAGCATGAGGGATGAAGTTTATCTTGTGTCGGTGAGTGTAGCTATTAAGTAAAGTTTGAGCATCTTAGCAATACAATGTGTTCTATACTACTGTCAACATTCTACAAAGAAAGAGCCACTTAATCAGTTATATAGTCATTAACCAGATTACCCTGGATATAAGACTTAGATGTGTGATAACTCAGTTCTAGAATGTTGTAATTTAGGAGAATATAAAAATCTATTTACATTCAGAATTGACTTTGTTTAGACATCCAGCCTGTATTGTAGTTTCATGACCAGAGACAAATCTTCAAAGGCACAGTGTTTATTTACTTGGGGTGGTACATGCATTCACACAGTCTTGATTTATATGATCCTTCCCACTACATGATTGATATGTCAAGTGATAAAATCCCAAAATATCAATTAAAAGTTTTAAAAAACTGCACTTGTGCTCATGTGAAAATGACAGTTTATTAAATATTCTACAGCTGTAATGTCATCAATCAAATCAAACTTTATTTATATAGCACATTTCCTACAACAAACGCATTTCAAGGTGTTCAAAGTCATGCATTGAAAGGCATGTGGCACTTAACATCCTTCCTCTTGTCAGGTCTCTATAGGTGACCAGGGGATTCTCTTTTCCACATGCGAACGCCCCATGGAGTTCATAAGTGTAGCCATGCGGCTGCATTGGCTATTTTTGCGGTTCACAATATCGGCCGTACGGATGTGGAATGCGAGTGGAGGAAGCCAGTCGTGCCCAACCAGGTGCAGTCAGTGGAGGACCTGTACCCGGCCGAACACTACAATCCTCGGTCCTGAGAGCCCACAGAGGAGGATCTTCAGTGGCTAAGGAACCATCTCCAGGGCTCCTTGAACCTGAGCCAGAACAACCGCTATCCTCCCTGTCATCCCGGTCTGTACCGGACATTGTTAAAAAACAAGGGCACCTGGGGCATGCAGGCATCCTGGCGCTGTCAGTGGAGCAGCAGTAGGCTATACGGCAGGCAACAGTTCGACAGCGCACCAACCCCAACTGGCACACCATGAGGAGAGGGAGGTTGATGGGCAGCAATAAGGGAGCAGTGGTTAGGGCCAAGTGCGTTACTCTGTCGCTGCTAAAAAGGATCCTCAGATCACAGTCGTTGGATGGGGTGTTGTCAGTAAAGTGGGGCACAGATAACGAAGAAGAGGGCATCAAGGAATTCAAAATGGCTACAGGGGTGGATGTGCATAAGTTAGGGCTTTGGGTCACGGGGTCTAGGATCCTGGGTGCCTCACCGGATGGTCTGGTGGGTAACACAGCAGCGGTGGAGGTTAAGTGTCCCTAGGATGCA